CGCAATAGGATATACGTAAACGACATACGTAAAATCCTTGTGCGTTGACCTACGACAACGACTTACGACTACGACTCAGTTGCAACCATCTTTGTGCGCGGAACCTTACACGGAGTAAGTAGTAGGAGTAAAAAATTGACCAATCACAGTCGATTATTCTTCTCAGGCGTTGTCTACAATACACGGAGTAAGAAGTAAGAGTAAGAAATTGACCAATCACAGTCGAATGTGAAAGCCGTAAGAAATTAACCAATCATAGTCGATTATTCTTCTCACATTTAAAGGCCCGTCTACAATACACGGAGTAAGAAGTAAGAGTAAGAAATTGACCAATCACAGTCGATTATTCTTCTCACATTCGACTGTGATTGGTCAATTTCTTACTCTTACCTCTTACTCCGTGTATTGTAGACGACGCCTAACTGTGATTGGCCAATTTCTTACGGCTAACGACTTGCGACCCTATTGTAGAACATGCATTAGCAAAGAAGAAGAAGAAGGCAAGAACCTAGTTCAACCTTCAACCACAGAAAACAGACCTATAAATAGACATAAACAGACACAAATCAATTTCAACAAGCATCTAACTTACAAAAAGGAAAGACGGAAGAAGTTGGTCTACATTTAATTAAATGCTAAAAGTGACGTGTTCTTGTATCGTGTTGCGTCCTCTTCGTGTCATTTCGTATTTTTATTTAAAGTGACATAATCGATATGTGAAAAAAATAGTATTTGAACAAAAGGCTGTATTTAATATAAAATATTGATATTTGCATCTCAAGAAGGTACACAAAAATTGTCTGCGACGTGTGTTTGTTATGCTATGTGGAATACATCGTTGATTTGTTCAGCAATTTGTTATTATGTCGTAAAAATTGTTGAGATAAGGAAACTTTATCTCTCGTGTGAATTGGTATGAATGTATAAAACATGCCTGGAGGCAGACGAAACGCTGTCAGTCGGACTGGATCAACTGCCAGATCCGGTAATGGTAACGTTAGTTTAGTCAATATCAATGGAAGAAGCAATAGCGGAGAAAGAACAAGTGCCAATGGTACAGATGACAAAAGGTTTGACGAAATTTATGGTGGAAGGTCTCTGGCACCAAAGCACATTCCTATACCTGCGGTACCAGTCGATGGACAGTTGGGCTTTGAAGCGTTATCTTTGGTCGTCTCGATTATTGCAGCTTGTCTGCAATTGCTTAATCTATATAGAACTGTATGGTGGCTACCAAATTCCTATAATGGTTATACTATGGTACGTTACATTTGTATTTATTATACAACTAGATTATGCTATTATGCATGACACAAAGAGGATAGTTATAACATATTTAGGAAACAGAAGAATTGTGCTCTTACTTGTATTCTTTGATGTTTCAGAATTTTTATTTGATAGATCCTTACCTACTTGTATTTATTTTTACTATGGTGGCACATAGATTCCTATATATATTATTACGTCAGATCATTGATGTTTCATTGCCAGTTCAATCAGTACCCGCAAAATTGGCAATCCGAAATATTATAAGGTATTATTGTATGTGATTTATTAATAATTTGTCAGATTTGTAATAATATCAGGATATTTTAGTATTTATGTAACTTAATTTCAGGTCATCTCTATCAGTTGCTGTAAAGAGCGTGTTGGGCTGGTGCCTGTATCATATGATTGAGAAGCACAATTCTATGAAAATTTTTTATTTATGTTATCCGTGAGTATCTATGAGAATGAATACAATATATAAATAATATTGTTGTATCGCTAAATTGATAGAAAAGTGACAATCTCAAAATTGGACCTTCTCAGCAATTTTTTAAATTTTAAATTGGAACATTTCAATTGGGATAATGAACATGCAATTTTTATAATTTTACTTCTTTCCATATGTTATCATTTCAATTATAATATATTCTTTAAAATTTGTCATGAATTGTTTAAATTCACACAAACATTGTGTTTTTAAATTCAAATACTATACTTTAAAAAGATATAAGACAAAAATTAACATTTTTTAGATAATAAAAGAAAATTGATCTTAAAGACTAATATATTTTTATGGAAACACAGATTTGTGATTTATTTACTTATATGAAAGTGTCACAAAATTTTTTTACGTAAGTAAATAAACCACAAATCTGTATTTCCATAAAAATATATTAGTCTTTAAGATAAATTTTCTTTTATTATCTCAAAAATGTTAATTTTTGCATTGTATCTATTTTTCTATCAATACAGCGATATGTATGCATTTATATTATGTAATTCAAAATTAAAAGTAAGTATAATTAGTTTATGACAATCATTTGTTCCAGAAGTTTATCAGTATATTTTGTTATGTTTGGAATACGAACAGCACCATTTTTTGATATGTCGTTCTCGAATGGAAAAGAAGAACGAAAAACAAAGTATATATTAGGTATGTATCATCAAATGTGTGTATTTTGATTGTATCTTATCTATTTATATTATTAATTTTGTTAAGTGTTTTAGTATTGTAACATGACTTTTTTCATATACAGATAAACCTTTGCACAATTGCTCACTAAACGCATCGGCCATCAGAGCAGAAGTATCCACTTTGAGATCCGATTTTAATAGGCGATTAAAGCGAGCTTTATTTTCGTCTTCCGGTAGCGCATATGTTTGTGTAGTTGCGCCTATTATTTTTGTACCTCCACATTTACATTTTAATGTATTGTGGGTAGTACAACATGTAATCTTGTTCTGGCTCGGAAGGATATGTGCTTACTTCGCTCAAGCTTACCCTTTCAGGTAAGTATATTCCTTCGTAGTAAGAATCGTTTTATCAAACATAATAGTTAAAGTATGTAATTGACTTTAGATATTGTGACGAGTTACATAGAGCAGCGATGCACTTGGGCCGATGGATTAAAATAGAAAATCGCAATAATCACATATATGCCGAACCGTGGAATGAAACAGTATTGTGGCCTCACGGGTCGATTGTAAGGCACAATCGAGAAATTTATCGTTCTGAAGGTTTGTGCACAGCAGCGGAACCGGGTAATCTAAGTCACTCTAGATTTTATGTATGTAATCTTATTCTATCAATGAATAACAAAACATATTAGACTCGATATTAATTATACATTGTTGTCTTGCAGGGTTTATTTAATAACAGAGTAACACTTCTAAGTCCAATACTGGCATTGCAATTATTATTGGTGAACATTCAATTATTTATTTTATTAGGCGTGACCGAATGGTATCAAATACTATCGACGATATTATTATTAGTTATACATTATTATACTTTGTTCAAAATGGCTAGGGATTTTCTAGTATCTTGGAAAGTGTATCGTGCTGAACAAATAATTCAAGAAAAGTCTCAAACGGTTGTGAACCCAATTGCTCAATAAAATACAAGTGTCATTTCTGCAACATTTTTTATATTATTTTTTATATATATTTTCTCGCGAAATAAAATGAAAAAAAAATTAATTATTCACACAAGGAAATTTACGTCTATAATTTACAAGTATTTAAAAATACGCATACATGTTTTATAAACTTTTATTGAATAAAATAATATAATATATTAAATGCACATTTATTTTAAAGAACAACGTGAAAAGATTTCAATATCAGAATTAGCTGATGCGAAATCGAATATTTTAAAGATAATTAAGAATCGAGAATTGAATAATGCAATATTTAAAAATATATGTAAAGAATGTATATGTTAGGAAAAACATTGCTTCTAACATAGAAATATATTCTTGATGTATATATATATTTTTTCTCTATCAACTAATCAGCTTAGAAAATCTCAATTTTTATAAATGCTCTAAATGATAACTGTTATTAGAAGTATTATATATATATAATCAAGCAGGTATTTGAAGATAAAACATATAGTAGCCTTTATGCAATTATAATTTAATAAGCTTGGAAAAATATGCACATAGGAATGCATAATTAATTCTGGAAAAGAGTGCGCGTAAATTCTATATAATCCAACGCAGCTGTTATCGGTCGTTCCGATTTAGGATCTACATAAGGTTTCATACGAGCAACGCAATAATCAGCCATCTCCTTCGTGAGGTTCTGAAAAAGAAGATTATAACAAATATAAATTGTATTTTGACTACAAGAATATTGTAAAATATTTTTTAACGGTCTAACTGGATCTTAAGGACGTTCTCCGACTGCAGTTGTGCTCAACCTAAAGTTTACTCGCGTCCACGCAATCGCCCCTACACACAGAAAATACTAGTTGAGTATCACCGTGTGCGCAGAAGTGTAAAAATGATCCTACTGCGTCACTCCGTGTGATGCGGCAACGCTGCTTTTTCGCTCTGCGCTTTGTGTTGTGTTAGTAAGGTTATGAACAGTGTCTGCCCTGCTTCGGGTATTGCATCATCTTATTAATTTTTTGCTGAAATTACGTGATCGCTACCCTGAGAAAGTACGAGGTTATTTGTGTTGTCACGCGTCACGTGTTGAGCGTATACGACG